AAAAGAAAAGATTAATAAGTTAAACATTACATTATTTAAATTCACTCAAGGTTCTAAGATCTTAAGAACCATACATACTAGTCAAGATGTGTTTTCAACAACTAAGGTTTAGGCTATAAACCTAAAAAGAATAAAAAAAATATTTTAAAAATTACTTCATTAAAAACAAACAATCATATGACCCAAACCAATAATGTAATTATTTTAGAAGAATTGGTCATTTTTTAATCTTCTATGAAGTGTGAGCACGACCCAACTCATGTCTTTGTACCAGCATCTATTCTAGTTAAATAGGTAAAAGAGTATCATAATTTGTTAATTTGTCGCGACCCAACTCATGTCTTTGTACCAACATCTAGTTAAATAGATAAAAGAGTATCATAATTTGTTAATTTGTCTAGGTCAATTGGTAGTAGATTAAACATGTCATTGGATTCTAATAAATATTTTTTAATATCTTTCTGATGATGAGGCCCATTGTAAATATACCAAACCATATATACTTAATATATTTGGAAGCATCCTACTCACGGATCTCAGCATGAACCATGTCACTGATTTGTCTTATGCTTTTGGTGAACTTTGACATGATTCCTATATATAGCTAAGGCTTTGCCATGTTTGCATATACATTTATGAATTGTATATATTAAGAGTGTCTAACAAGTTGAGAGATGTTTCTTACTTTTATAGGTATAACAATATGACAAGTTTTGCATTACATTTGAAATGTTAAGAATAAATTTAGTATCACTCTATGGTTTTTTGACACGGTTATAGTTTTAGGATCATCTTTATATGAGTTGTCCTCAACTTTTAGTTAAGCTAAATCCGATAGTTCAAGATATGGGGATTACACTACCACTCCTATTAGGATACAAACAATGAGTTGTTTAAATTTTTTATATGCAACTAAATTGTCTTAACTCTCACAATATTAAACATGATCAAATTTTGTTATTTGTAGTGTTAGGTGGTGTGAGATTAAGGTGTTTTAAGATAATCTCACACATGTGTTGTTGTTTTATCAAAATGAGCTAGATAGTCAACAACCTTTCCAAGTATGAGTTACATCATTTTTGTCATAATTCAAATCAACATTTACCTGTTACTAACATGTATAATTTGAACACTTATGTTATAGGTAATTTGGACTCTATTCGAGGTAGCTAAACTTGTTGTTGCTCCCATAGTTTGTACTAACAACATCGACATTTGGATAACAACGGAACATTACATAAAATATATAAAATGTAGTTTTCATACAATTCACCCTAGGAGGGTGTTTGAGAGTGTGATAGCGGTTGTTTTTCAAAATGTTTTTCATTTAGAAATGCATTAAAATAATATTTTTTTTATTTTAAAAAAATCATTTTTGATATTAGTACATCAAAACAATCTGAAAATATAATTTAAGATAAAAAAATTAAAATTTTATGGAACATGATTTGCACTATGTTCCTAAACAATGCTTAAATATAGAGAAAATTATTGTTAAAAGTTGCTTGAAAAGGGTTTGGAGTTTGGATTTAAGATTAATTGAATTTTTAAGATTAGGGTTTGGAGTATGCAATTTAAGGTTAGTGCTTGATTTTTGATATTTTAATTACAATTTGAATTAGTTGGGTTTTTGTTTTTTTTGATTAAAGGTTTAGGGTTATGGGTTTTGGATTAGGATTAGTTTTGTGATTAATGATTTAAGTTTAGGTTTTGGAATTTAGATTAAGGTTAGACTTAGTATGCAATTGTTAAAAAACTTGCATAGAGTTTGGGTTTGAGATTGGGATTGGGATTAGCAAGTGTTAGAATTAGGTTAGTTTTTTATCATTTACATATTATAGATAAGTTTAGTTGTTGCGTGTTGGTGTAGTTTAGACATTAATTAGAGTTAAAAGTAAGTTAGAATTTTAACATATAGTTCGAGTTTTGTTAGGGTTTCCATTTAGAGGTAACTTGGAGTTTTGAAAAATATTGCAGTTCCCAAACAAAAATCATCTGCCAAATGTCATATTTCTCAATCACAACTTTTTTACATGTCATGTTTGGAAACAGTATATTATTTCACCAATACTATACTTTTTTTATCGAGTTATATGGCCAAATTTTTTGCTTTTTGTACTAATAAGCGAAAATACCCATAATTCATAGCAGCAAAGTAGCAGCAGGTACACGAAGATTAGTTATTTATGGTTCAAATGATTTCAAAAAAATCCCCTTTCCTCACGAGCCAGCCACCAACTCTAAACCAGAATTTGAGATGTGGCTTGGATCAAGCCAAGCTAACAAGCCATGGTTTTAAACATTAATTAAAAAAAAAATCAAAGGACTTTTCAATAACTTCCAACTCGTCATGTTCGTTTGGTCCCATTTGTAAGTGACGGGGTAAAGATTTCCGAAGTGGCTGCTTCCTGGATGACTACCATGATCCATCGGCACCAGCAGTTGGATTCTCAAATGCCTTGAATCCCCAGAACGTCTTCAATGCGTAAGGCTGTGAAATTGTTACACCTTCTTCAGTAATCTTAGCTATCTGCAGTTGGGAAATTGTGAACCGTCAGATGTCAAATTGGACAACAATTATCTGGTATTAGAACTAAAGAAACACGTCCAACAACATTGCTTCATGTAATTATCCTTTAGATGCATTTTTTTTCCTTTAACTCATGGTAGAAAATCAAGACCCTGAGCACAAACAACAATAGAAAGAGGCACGATGCTGAGCTGGTCCTCAACCATCCAGTTTAAGACCCTGTTAAGTATACTTTTGGGAGTCCCAAAGCAGCTTGCCACAGTTACCAAATTGAAGCTCATTTACTAGAAACAAGTCTGCCTAAGGTGTGCAACTGCACAGATGCTCAGCACATCCTAGTAGACACTACTTGTACAGTATCCCCTTGAGAAAATCTCTATTCACTAAAAATCATTATAAAATGCTGTTGCCAAAAACAATTAAGATTATTACAAGTTTCAACAACATAAAATGATACATTCATCTTTTTCACCCCATCAATAAGCTTGTTTACTCTGATTTTTATCAGCAAGGATTTGTGGAAAAGTACAGAGAATTTTAAACCACAAAAACATATCACCATACAAGATGATAGGATTCCAACAACGATGTTGTTACCTAAATTTTGAAGTGCAGCGACAATTCAACATGAACAAAAAGAAAAACCAAATTGAACTAAAAGAGCATAAAACAATGATATATGCACCTAAGAGAATCAACTCAACTCAGTAGCACCTTAATGCTAACCATTTTGTATCAAGCATTAACCTTTTTTTCACCATGTAGGCACCCACATGGCAGCAATTCCAGTAAATTAACTTGAAATTCTATTACTTTTCTAGAATCTCATTCCATAACACATTAAACTCGTATAGTTGTAAGGAAAACAGAGCAGAACCTGAAACTTGTTGACAGCAGACCTATCACGATACAGAAGAACTCGCATACATTTCTCCAGTAGTGTAACACCTTCTTCAAAGGTCAAGTTCTCATGCCACTCAGAACGAAGTATTGGCTGAGCCATGTGATTTCCAAATCCAGTTGCTACATGATTCTCCTCAAAGTTTACTCCTATCATAGTGACCTGCAACACTCATAAACACAAATGACCCATACACATAAAATGCACACAGCTTTTCACTCCTCTTATTTGGAGGTTTAAAAACAGAAAACAGCTTATGTAACTGATGCTCACCATGCCAAGAAATTTTTGTCCTTTTTTCACACCACCAAGAAGAAGTGTATTCCAAAGCGGGTCAAACTTGTTACGCCTATTATACATAACTCGTGTCAAATAGCTGTGAATCTCTTTAGGCCCCAAAGAGTTTCCATCATCCCACATATTGTCATTCAAGCTGCAGATAATTAGACAGTGCAAACCAACAATTTAAATAACATAATACAAAAAACAACAGCAATACAAGCAAAAACTATTTATCTACTTTTCTCTCAGCAGCAAACCCCTAAAACTTACACTTGCTCATCAAGATAACGCATAATCTCCTGAAAATCACTTATTTCTCCACTAGCACCAATAAGAGAATGCTTCCCAACAGGCTTAATTCTCTCCACACTCTTGTATCGCAGCGTGGACCCATAAGAACCTATCAATTATCAATGCCACAAAATATATCAACAACAAGAATTATTATAGTACTTCTAGCAATTCTTTCTAAAGGGTTCGGTTATTAGGTACAAATAAGCGCAAAAATCACACTTCCCCCCTTTAAGTTATTAACCCTGAGCACCTCCACAGTAAACCATTAAAAAAAATCACATAGATAATAACTAGATAATGAGTATCAGAGAAACTAACCTCCCATATCAGCAGCCATTAAAATCCCATCTTTATATTTCAAAGCAACAACAGATGACCCAGTCACGTATGGATACCTACATATGTACGGCAACAAATTTAAAACCCTAAAAAAGTCTCCAGTTTTACAATAAAACTTCCAAATAAACACTGAGATAAAGAGAGAGATAAGAAGGGCGGCATACTGGGTTCTTTGAATGCCAGGTCCAGAGCTCAAAAGGCTGTTCTGTTTGGTTTCAGAACTAGACCCCATTGTTTAAACTCTGTTTGAAAAAAATCAACAAAAACAACAACGAAAAGGGGTTATTAGCAAAAACCCATTACAAATTTGAAAGAGTGACTGAATTTCAGTAAGAAAGACTTACACTTCGGTGTCGATCGAGAGATAAGGGGGAGCAAGTAAGGGTCTGTGATCTGTTTGGTGAAAGAAAATACTAAGCTTTTCTTTTACAAGACTTTAATTTTCGCACAAGAAAAAGAAAATCTCACTCTTTCTCTCTTTTTTTTTTTCAAGAATTAATAAATTCGAAGAATTCGGATTTCGATACTCTCCCTGGCGGGCCAAGTAGCTTAGTTCAAAGGCTTGAAAGTTTGGGCTTTTTTGGGCTCATGGCCTTTCTATAAAATTTAAACAAGGTTTGAATTACGTTTTAGTGTTTGTTTTTATGGAGAGAGAAAAAAAGTGTTCCTTTTAATTGTTTCTGTATGTTTACGAAATAAATTTTATAATTATTTTGTAACTCATAGGCACAATTCAAAGCATTTTTTATGCATTAATTTTCCTTTAAATATTCTATACATAATATTTATTTAGATAAATGAAAATGCAATTTCAAAAAAATTATTAAATAATCAATTTAACCTAATTATTTTGTTAACAAAACACTGATATTATGTAAAGTGATCAATTCAATATAAAAATTTAAATTCAATATAAAAATTTAAATTAATAGTAAATTTTTTATATATAATTTAAATAATTCTTTATCAATAATATTTATTTTTTTCAAGGATATTGTTTGATAAAATATGATGTATACTGGTATTATAAAATTATTTGCACACATTCAATTGAGTTTTCTTTTACTAAGTTATTCTAAGTTATCCAAAGCTACAAAATAAAATAAAAAAATTTCTTTTTTTTTTTAATTTTTAAGGTCCGTTTTTTATTTAAGTTTCTAAAATCAATCACATGTTATTTCATTATCAAAATCTTGACATGTGATCCATGAGCCGCCCCAAATCCAAACCATGAATAAAGAAACATGATTATTGTCTCCTGTGAAATCTACATGTTGGTGTTGGCTTGCACATCTTTTTGATGTCCTTGCCTAGTTCCTGTTCATTGAGAGAGATTGTGCTTTTAGTTGGGGATTTGCTACATGGATGGTTTCCATCCAGATTTTGGGTTTGTTGTTGGACTGAAAATTGATAAATCAATGCTAAATATGATAATTTGCAAGTAAGAAATGATAATTAGAAAACAAATTCTTAAAGATAGGGATAAAAACTCTTAGTAATGTAATTTAAATTTTGGTTAAAATAAAATGATAAAAATCATTTCATGAATTATTATTATTTTAAAGTAAGTTAAAATGCATATAAAAAAAATGAAGTAATCTCCATAAGCTGAAGATCTCTTTTACCATATTATGTTGTGATCAATAATATTAGATGAAGATAAAAGTATTCCTCTCATATCATATAAAATAAATTATAGCAGAGAAAGTCAATTGTGCTAGAATATTCGTGGTAACAATTATGTATATGTATAGTTTTATTTTGATGTGTTTGTTTATAATGAAATAAATGAATGCAGATATGTTTATTGTATGTGCTATTTATTGTTGATTTTACAAATATATTCTTTTGACACCCTAATAATGATACCAAATATTTATTTGCTTAGTTTTTGTATTAGGTAAATTTTTGTATAAGTTAATTAATAATGTGATATAGATACAATATAATTATAGCAAAGTGTTGTAAACATCTTTTGTAAAATGGATATGATATAATGATAGAGTTGCGTTATAAATAAAAATATAAAATGATTTTGATTAAAAATAAAAAAAATATTATTTTATTTTTCATGTTCAAGACAATTAATAAAATAATATTTGCATAAAAGGTGTGAGGCGTTACATGTTACCCCATCTTTGTTACTTGTCATTTGGTTTCGATTAGAATTACCAAATAAGCTAATTGTTTCTTTTTAGTTTAGCTTCTTTTAAATTTAGATGATATTGGGTGTTTTCATTTTCTATTGGTAAGATAATTGTTTGTATTTGAAAAGCATTGTTTAGTTGAGAGGCTTTATTACTTGTCATTTGGTTTCTATTAGAATTACCAAATAAGTTAATTACTTCCTTTTAGTTTGGCTTCTTTTAAATTTAGATGATATTGGATGTTTTCTTTTCCTTTTTATGTCATTCATTTTCTATTGTAAAGATGGTTATTTGTATTTAAGAGGCATATTTTTTTTGCCTGAGAAATTAGGTGTCATTGGTGTTGCGTGCTGTATAAACTTTTCCTTTGTTATCATTTTTTATCAAGGTGACATAACTAGCTTCTAGCTTTATATGTTATTCCCTTCCTCTTATGTGTTGTTTGTGCCATTTTTTTCAGAAATTATGTTGGTCCTTCTTCAGCTTAGTTACCTTACTAATTACCTGAACATTTTATTTGTTTTTTTAGGCTTCAAAGTTATTTTCTAGGCTGGTTTGTTATTCATTTTATTGGTGTTGATTTTGTGATTTTCACAAGGGTTTGGAGCTCTTATTATCGTAGAATATATCCCTTCCATGTTTATTATAACAAAAGCTAAATAGTGGGGGGAAATCACTATAGATTAAGAGATCTTTTACTATGGATTGTAATAGTAATTTCACTTTAAATTTCTCATTTTCTACGAGTGAATAAACATTTATTTGACTTTCTTTTTCTTTCCTGGGTGCTTACACCATTAAGGAGACACATATTACGCTTCCTGGTGGTCAAATCTAATCATTTACCGTCTAACTGAATGCGCAATTGTGCCCTCTTTTATATTGTGTGGCGCATGTAGACAGATAATGGTTGGATTGTGGAGCGGTAATCGATTATTTGTGTTTTTTCTTTCTTTTATCTTTCCTGACAACTAAAATGCATAATTATCCTCTTTATTTGTTGTTTGTCAAATCAAACATGTTTGTTATACCTAAACACCTTGAGCTTGGCAACCATGTCAGACCCAAGATGCTTGGGTTTGGTATGGTTGTCACGGCCAAGACATTTGGGTCTAGTAACCCTATACAAGTGTAGTGTGAACCAAGAAATACTTCATTGTAGACTTGCACAATGAATTTTCTAAGCTCTGAAAGCTTGAGATGATGCTAATATTGTCTTTTTACAGAAAATTAAATTATCATTTTACCCTTCGATTGAAAAAATTAAAGCCCTGATTAGGGGTATTTCAGTATTTTTTCTGGGTTCATTTGTCATTAGATGTTTAAGTAGGGGTATGGTAGTTTTTTCACATTTATTTGCATAGTAAAAATATTATTCTACCCCTAAAATTAACAAAATTAAGACATGTTGCTCAGGGGGTGTCTTGACATTTCATAAATTATTAAATAGTTAAAATATATCTTTAGCCTTAAAAAGGATTAAAAAAAAGCTTTACATGTATGAGTATTTTTTTTTCTTTCACGTTGTTTTTTGTAATTTTCTATAATTATTGGAGATACTTTGTTATTTTTTATTATTTTATTATTTTTAAAATCAAAGATTTGTGTCAGACTAAACTAATATTCAATTTAGTTCCTGTTTTTTATTTTGTCATTGTTATTGATGTCAATCAAAAGAATTATGGAATTTCTTTAGCAACATGCTTTGATTAACTGATTTTCCATTAAAACTAGTCAAGATAATTTAAGGGTTGATGTTTTGTTTGGATGTTCATGAAAATTAAAAAAAAAATAGTGAATGCTTTAGGAATAATTTTTATTGGTGATGTGTGCCACTTGGAGATGAGCTTTTGTTGGTGTCATCTGTTATGCATACTTTTCTGTTATGATGTTCAAGTCATGTATGCAATTCTAAACCCACCAACTAGTTTTATAGATTTGTTCGCTGTAGAGTTTTTACTTCAGTTAAGCAACATGGTTTGATAGCAAAGAGGATAGCAACTAATCTCATTGATCCTCTTAACCCTATCATGCCAAGACATTACTTCATGTTCATATACTCTGCATATGTTCTCTTTATAGAAAAGTGTTCAAGAATTCTCACAGGTTTGACAAGATCAATGTATCTTTTACCAAATCTATACAACTAATTTCTTTTTATCCAGATATTTTTGAGAGGCTTGAAGTTATTCAACCGCTTGAGCAAGCATTGGTTCATGTCCAAACATTAAAATCCCAACTAATTTGAAATTGATAAAATAAAAGCCAACTCCTTCGGCAACAAAATGAAGATGGATAAATGTCTTATCTCTTCTTTTTTTGTTGAGAAAAAGTGTCATTTATTTCATATTAGTTGCATTCATTCTTTATTGTATTTATGATACTGCCAAAAAAAGTGCCTTATAAAGACAACATTGGCTTTCTAAGAGCTATAAGGGTCATGACAATTACCTTTTTTATTATGCAGGGCAACTGATTTCTTCTTCTTCTTGTTTTTTTTTTTTATTAAGATGGATGTTGGGGCCAGCTTGTGTGCACCTTAACTAATTCTACAGGCCCTGAAATTAATGATCATGTAAACCCTTAATAGTTCTGAGGTTTCTAAGACTTGAATTAGTAACCTGTATGGAACAAACACAGAGCTTGATCAATTGAGCTACACCCCGACAACTGATTTCTTGACAATATGCAAGTTGAATCGATTATGGGGCGATTGCATCTCTCCTTACCTTTGCATTAAAAGCGTGGAGAGCCTTTTTGCATTTCCATATGTTCAAGCATGACGCTTTTGCTTGGAACTTTATAAAATTGTTCTTTTGATGTATTCCAACAACATGAAATCATGCTCTTTCTATTTTGGCTCGCATTTCTCTACAGCCTTATACCATGCACTTTAGCTATTAAACCTTGTTTTAGTCATTTGATGATGTCAAGCTCAAGCTCAAGCTCGTGGTGTAGCACGAACAATCTTACTAGTGATTTATAAGTCTTATTATAATGTATCAACTCTTGACATATGCCTTGAAATTATGAATATACATATATTATTTCTTCACTAAAAAAACTTTAGAATTATTAAAGAGCTTTACTATTTATTTGTATCGTGTCCCCACCCCCTCCCACCCAATTCAGCCTCTCATTTTTTTACATTCCTCGCCCTCTATCTATTTCAATTTTATCTTTAGATTTTTTTATAATAATTATTTAGGTTATTTTTGAATTGGTTAAAAATAATATCGAGATAAATTTTATATAGTTTAATTTTAAATTTAAGTTAAATATTTATATCAATTTCATCTTTTATTTCTTAATTTCATTCCCAAACTTTATTTTACCAATTATTTAGTTTATCTTCGGACTTGACAAGTTGATTAGGTCACATGAAGACAACTCCCATATAATTTAATTTTAAATTTGAAAATAAAAAGCTGAGTTGAGAGGTTTTTTATATCAATTTCATTTCTTTTTCTTTATTTCATCCATGGACTTTTTTTACTAGTTAGATGGAATGTCTTTGGACTGGATAAATCAATTGGGTTATTTTAAAACAATTCTTACACAATTTAATTTTAAATTTAGACTAAATAAAAAGTTAGATAAAAAATTTCAAAAATTGACATGTTAGGTTAATTTAATAAAAATAAAAAATAATTATTTATAATCTAAATATTTTTTTATATTTAATTTTTTTATTTGATCAGCAACACAACACACACGTATATATGACACACAATTTTATTTTATGAGTTTTGTAAAATTCTTTTTACATATATGTATTTAATTTCTCAATTAAGAAGCTGCATTTTAACTTCAATTTGAATTAACCACCTCCATTCTTTCCCTTGTGTTTAAACGAGTGATAATTAGAGGCTTTTTTTTTTTTCAAGTGTCATATTTAAATTCCATTATCTTAATCACATAAATATTTTACACTTTGATTTTGATACAGTCGAGTTTTGAAATAAAAAAGAGAGATGGTGTTCTACTTCAAAGCCAGACCAGAGGCAGGAGATTACACTATTTTTATGGGTCTCGACAAGTACGAGAACGAGGAGCTTATCAAATATGGTTTCCCTGAAGACATCTGGTACTTTCTTTTTTCTTATCAACTTCTTGCTAATCCAATTCAAAGTTTCAATCTTTTCCATCTGGGTCTTTGATTTATTGATTAATTTAGTCAGATATTAATTGCAATTTAATTAGTTTTGTTGTTTTATAAGGTCAAGATTCTCTCTATATGCGATATTTTCCCATTGATCTTATAATAATCAAAGCAGAGAGTGAAAAGTGTTATAATTTCTAATTGGGTAGGGAGTAATTCAACAAGGTAGAGTGATGGTTTCTCTATCAAATCAAAAAATTAATGCTTAGAATTTGAACTTTGAAGAGCCCATGTTATTGAAAAGGGTAAAGAAGGAAAGGGGAGTTTGTAATTTGTATCTGGATTGGGTTTTGTTTGCAATGAGGGGTCTGACGTTTCCAGAAGTCATCAGGGTTTTTCTTGATGGTTTTTTTTTTTTTTTTTTAGGTTTCACGTGGACAAAATGTCTTCTGCCCATGTGTATGTAAGGCTGCATAAAGGTCAGACCATTGATGATATAAGTGAAGGTGTGCTTGAGGATTGTGTGCAGCTTGTTAAAGCAAATTCGATTCAAGGAAAAGTTTCTGAATCTTCCTTTCATTTTACTTAGCTCAGTTTCTCCCTTGTCGCTATGGATTTATACTTCATGGTTTTAATAGCAAGCTCAATGCTTGTTTCGTAATATAAAGTTACAACCATTCCCTTGATTAAAGTATTCTTTTTTGTTTTGAACATGGATGCATAGTTACAATGAGTTAGTTGTTCGAAACTGTTTCTCTTTCACACTGCAGGCAACAAGGTGAACAACATTGATGTTGTTTACACTCCTTGGGCCAATTTGAAGAAAACTGCTTCCATGGATGTTGGTCAAGTTGGCTTCCACAATTCAAAGATGGTGACATCCTTTGTTTGGTAGTTTGTGTTTACAACTTACTGGAACAATAATGAGCTATTACATAAATTAATCATTTCTCTCTGGTTTTGACTCTTTATCTAGGTTCGAACTGTGAGAGTGGAGAAGCGGCTAAATGAGGTAGTTAATAGATTGAACAAAACAAAGGTAGAAAGAAAACCTGATTTGAAAGGTAAATCTTTGATCTCAGCCTATCATTTTAGTTTATTACAAAACCTGCGGGCCATAAAAAGAAGGCAGGGAACTTCATAATTCTCTTCTCTTCTTATCTGTGCACAAAACCAAATGTAGGGAGTGGTTTAGCTTTTCCAGATGTAATGTTGTCAGTTTTTGCTTATTTTAGTTCTATAAATTCTTTTGATTGGCCCTGATGATTCCAACGGTTACTTATTACCATGTATCATTGCAGCTGAGAGAGAAACAGTCAATGCAGCAGAAAGAGCAGAGAGAAAGCTTCTTCTGAGAGATAAAGTGAGTTTTATCCATTCTCATGTGTCCAATTCTAAGTCTTAAGGTCAAGTGATGTAGAGCTGTAACATGGAACATGATATCCTTGTGCACTTATCATGAAGAGCTTATGATGGCACCAAATTTGTTTCAGATGGACAGATATGAATTATACCTGAAAAAAATAGATCTATTTGGAACCTCTTATAGTCCTTTTCACTCTAACTTTGAAAATAGGATTCCTTTCCTTCTCCATGGCCTCCTCCTCCCTTATCTCACCCTTCTCTTCCTCTTGTTGGAAATGAATTTGTTGGGGAGATCAGCTGACCTTGTTGCTCCTTAGTCTCCATAAGGTTCAGAGTCTTCTTGGGTACTCAAGTGGCTTTCTTTTAGAGGCAGTGGTTTATCATTTAAAGTTATGTAACCAAGGATTGCATTTGAATTCTGGGTTTTGCAATTTGAGTTTAGGCGTAGTTGGTCAATTGTTAAACCATGTTAAGTGCTCTTCCATTGAATTTCCTTTGGGAAGAACACATTCCTTTTGCTTTCTGCACGCACCACAAGAACAGTTATCAGATCTTTTGATGTTTTGCTTTCAGTGACAATGTGATTGAAATTATAAACCTCCAGTGTAGTTTATCTAAAACATCCAAGAAGTATCATTTATGCTTCCATTGATCTCAAACATTGTGCAAACAAATAGAATCTTCTCCCAGCATTACTTGCAACCTGTTATGTTTTTAGGGCATTAATGTTGGGAACGCTGGAAGCATCAAATTCAGAAAATTATAGCTTTATCACCTTCATAGTCACTAGTATTGGTTGCAACTTGTTTTGTTTTGTGGGAATTAATGTTTGAACGTTGTAAGTTTTAAATTGCAGATTGTTTGGCTATATCACCATTTTAAATGCCCCTAGGATTTATATCTCCTTCTAGCATTTAAATGTGTGGCAAAAAGTCTACTGGTTGCTCTTTTAGCTATTTATTGACTTTCTTATTGTTGTAAAAAGGACACGATCATACTGTGATTGGATGAAATATTAGACAGTAACAGCATGGTCTATTATTTTTTTTATTATGTTTCTGTGTTGCTGGTATCTAAAAAATCTAGTCATTGAGTTGATCTCTTGATATTAAGATAATGTATTCCAGTTGCATATTGGTACAATGCATCTACTTGGTTTGATATCATTGATCTCTCGATATTAAGAGATGAACTCACATTTCCCATTTTCAACAATTTTGGCTATTGAGTTGCATTGTGTTGCACATTCATGTTCTTGGATGGTTGTGTTGTGCCCGTTCAATTCCTAGTCCTCAGTTTCAAGTTGTGCTGTGCATCTGATCTTCTCATTGCTTCAAATATTCTTAGACATTCCATAAGTCAGTGATTCTCCAGTTTAGCATTTTCCCTCTTGTTTCACAAGGTTTGGTTTCAGTTATTTGTGATCAATAATTTCTATCTGTTCTGGGAGTGTGATCTTCTTTTGATTATTTTGTGCATATAGAAAGAAAGGAATGCTTGAATCCTTGAAAACAGTTCTATCCACCCACTGTCGCGGGATTGGATTTTTTTTTTTTTCCTAGTCTCCTTTCACTGTGATGCTTCCCCAGGTTATGGAGGAGTCTCTCTGTCTGATATTCAACGGGGAGAAGAGGGCCTTATTTATTAGGTGCCTCTTTCTGTGCTTTCAAAGTTTAGGATGACTCATTCTCTGTTTACTGCTGCTTCTTTTTCTTCTTTTTCAATGTAGTTAAAGTATTAATTCTTCCATGATATTAATTCTTCAATATCAATGAAGTAGCAAAATTTGAAAGTGTGACTCCAGCTCTTCTACCATTTGAGATATGATACTTTGGTTGGAGCCAATCTTTCCCCCCTTTTTTTTATTTAATTATAAAGTGCGTAAAAATCTCAAATTTGTCTTTGCAGAAACGACGAGAGGAAATGGAAAGGCTTGAAAAGGAGAGACAGACAGAGATAAGGAGCTACAAGGGTTTGATGGTGGCTGAAAAAATGACATCCAATAAACAAATAGCATCTGAAAACAAGTCCTTGCAGGAGCTGGAAGACGACTTTATGTAAAGCAATGGTATTCAGGGGTTCTGCTGAACCTGCTGCTCCTTGAAGATGCGGGTTTGTTATTCAATTTGTGACTTCAAGCATTATATGAATAAACTTAGAAAATTTCGAAAGGTACATGTAATGCCAGGCGAAGGGGGAGGAGATCATTGGGTTGGGGAGTTACTTGTCTGCTGTAAGTTATACTCTGGTGACAGTGACAATGACAAACATGGTCAAAATTGAATTGTGATTAATGTGTGATAGACATCGTTTATCATAGACGATAGTTTATCAATCTTGCTATTTAGTTTCTGCAACAAGGTTTATTGAAGCTTGTTTGGTCACGCACATTTGCAATTGCTAATATGAAAATTTGGTTTTAGTCCTGAACCTTTATAGTTTCAGTGTTCTGATTTTTAGGATTGCTTGATCAAATTTCATGTCAATCATCTCTTCAAGGATTCATAAATGACCTACTGGGCTTCACAATCGTAATCACCTGATTTGGTGGCAAATACCTTCTACAGGTGGTTCCCTTCTCATGTTTGATTTGTTCGTTTCCAAAATATATTTTTTAAAAATATTATTTTAATATATAATCACACTCCAACGTCAAAAAATATAATATAATATTTTTGTGTCAATTATTTTTACAATTGTTGCACTAAATTAAAAATAAATTATAATATTCTCAATTAGATCTACCCAATCTATTTTAAAAGAAAAAAAAATGTAATAGCCGTTATCAAATTGGAAAAAAATAGGATTCCATAGTAATATTTCATGTTTTCTTGTACTTCTTAGATTCTCATATTAATCAAACTAAAATATGTTTCTCAAAAATAAAATCTCAATTTTAAGTTTTTTCCTCTCTAATAATTAAAAAAAAGGCTAAATTTTTTAACCAAATATTCCTCTCAAAATCACTTTTTGAAAATCTCATATATAAATTTAGATATATTTGGCATTGCATGTTTAAAAAAAAAATTAATTTTTTTTTAATTTAAATTAATATATATTTTTATATTTTTAAATTATTTTAATATATTAATTTTAAAAATAATTTTTAAAAACTAGAAAATATTATTAATATATTTTTTTAAATAAAAAATATTTTAAAAAATAATTACAATCATACTCCTATAAACACTCTGTAGAATTCACATCGATAAATTCTAATATCCCAATAATTGAAATTTTAGGAAAGTAATTCTGGGAACTTTTTATTTTCTTTTTTAAAGCAACATTATTCTTTTTTCTTGCAGTTTCTGAATTTCTCTTCTCTTATCTAAAAATTAGTAACAAAATAAAACAATAATATTTTTTTAAAAATATTTTTTTTTGTAAATATATTAAAACAATATATTTTTTTATTAATTTATTAAAACAATTCAAAAACATTAAACAAAATTAATTCAAAAAAATTAAAAGCTTTTAAAACTGTTGAAACGTGGTTCAAGCACCCCCCGGACTCCATACAATGGAGCAACGGCAGACAAGCTAAACCCTCTCTCTTTGCAGTCCCCTCTACAAAAACGCGCTCAATATCACCAAAACCCTAACAACAAAAACTCACTCCTTTTCTCTCTACCTTCACTTTCACAACAATGGCAACTCCTTCTTTGGACGAAGAAACAGCCAAGGAAGTCCTTAGACAGGTAGTGTCCACATCAATTCTCTTAATTTCATAGAAACATTAAAAACATACATACTTTATTTATTTATTTTTTCAGGTTGAGTATTACTTCAGTGACAGCAACATCCCTCGTGATAATTTTTTGAGAAACATAATCGAGTCCAGTGAAGATGGCTGTATCCTTGATCTCTTCAATATAAATCCTGGGTTTTTATTATTTTCGGGTTTGGCTTTGTTTTTGTGTTATGTTGTCGTTGGGCTTGACATTAGATAATAGTGGTGAGTTTGGCTTTGATTTGTTCGTTTAAGAAGATGAAAGGTCACTTGAAGTTAATGGACGTGAAGCCTGAAGAAATCCCAGAAGTTACTGTTCAGGCTGTGGCAGAAACGTTGAGAAAATCCACTTCTCTTAAAGTTTCTGAAGATGGTTAGTTATTTTTCTTTTCTGGGTGCTTTTCTTTTTTATGTTTGGATGCTTAGAAAGTGCGTTCTTAAACAAGATTTTGAACTTTTTTCAGCTCATACTAATTTAGAGCTTTATGTTTGGATAATTAGGAAGTGTTTGCTTAAAGAAAATTCTGAACCTTTGGTAGCTAATGCTGATGAAGCGCTAAATGTTTTGCTCAATTAAGTGGAGTTTAGGTTTAGTGGATATGAATTAAGAATCTGTGTTTTGTCTGTTCTGTTTTCATGGTGAGTGGTTTGCAGGGAAGAAAGTAGGCAGGATTGCTGGGATATTGAAGCCAGATGAGGCTATAGAACAACTAGATGTAAGAACAATTGCTGCGTCTCCATTAAAATATAATGTGAAGCGAGAAGAGCTGGAGTTGTTTTTTGGTCAACATGCGAAGGTAACTTGGTGGTTCTATTTGTTTTGCTTGTGAATGTTCTGCTTTTTTAGTTTCCAATCTTGCTATGTGAGTAGTGAGTTGTTGGAAATATTTGGCATATTTTTTTTGGAGAATGAGCATGTTACTTGTTTCAGGTTACAAGTGTAAGGATGCCTCGTCATGTCGGTGACAAAAGGGTATTTTGTGGTACTGCTTTGATTGAGTTCTCATTGGAGGAAGAGGCCGAAAAGATTTTAAAGCAAAACTTGGTTTTTGAAGGTGCAGAGCTAGAATTAAAACCAAAGTAAGCTAATGCACATAGACAAACACCAAGCACTACAACATTTAGGTGTGGTATCTATCCTCTATTCTTTTTGTAGAAATATAAAATGGACTAAAACTTTCTTGTGTGAATATGATGCTCAAAGACACATTTAAGAAAATTGTGGTTATATATCTTTTGTTACATAAGTAAAGCATTTTAAACTGAATAGCTGTGTCGATGTGAAAATATACAATAGTGATATTCTTATTTGTCTGCATGTTTCGCTGTTCTTACTTATTGTAGAGGTGAAAGATGAGCTGTGGCTTTGACCCTGATCAATAAAGTTATCAACATTGTATACATAAATCGCTATTAATGTTTCAGAAATTGCTAGCTCTGTGATTTGATTTGTAAAACAGTTAATTTCAGGAGTTACATATGACAGTTAAAATTGTGGGAGCAAACAGGTTGGAAATTATGGTATAACAAGTTTTTTTTGCAATATTTGGAAAGGTACAAGAACTTTGGAGGTATAGAACGCCCGTTTGCCTCTGATCTATCTTGAGCCTCTATATTTTAATCAGTTTAACCCCACAAAAATACTGAATGATATTGTTCATGTACAGTATAGAACTTAAATTAAAAGAACTTTCTGGTCCATATTTCATGCTCCTAATATACTCCTTTTCCAACTCAGGAGAGAATTTGATACAGAAAGAGTGCAAGAAGAGGAATTTGAAAATTCCCATCCCTCAACAGGCTCCAATAATAAGAATAGTTCGAATGGAGAGGCAAAGTAAGTAATTTTACTGTTCCTGTGTATTCCAATGGGACTATGGAGTTCTCTCTTAATGTTTTTTTACTGTTCCTGTGTATTCCTATGGGACTATGGAGTTCTCTCTTAATGTTTGTTGATATGTTCTCACCTTGTTGATGGCAGCTATCCAAAGGGCTTGATTATTGCATTTGCTTTAAAGAATAAATTAGCTGGAGGTTCCGCAGAACAAAATGGTACTCAGGAACCTGCCAATGATGATGCAAATTCCTGTGATGGAGGATCGAATTCATCAGAGAATATGACCAAAGAAAATGAACAGAAGGTGCCAGAAAACATCAAGACTGATGAAGAAAACAATGGAGAAGAGGTTGATGGGGACAATGGCTCTGAAAGTACAGTAATAAAAACTGAAGAGGAGAAATCATCTGAAGATCCCAATGAAAAGGAGGAAGTGAAGGAGAAACCTAACCCAGCTGCCTCGAAGGATGACAAAAATGTTGTTTTGCGTGAAGATCTGAAGGCTGTCTTTGAAAGATTCGGCATTGTGAAGGTACTAAGATTCTCTTTCTCTCGCTGTTCTTGTTTTCTTTTTCTTTGAATGAGTCTTATGCCTATTTTAATTGCTGAATATGGTATTCCTTTAAGATTATATATAAGTCCGACACTTTTTTCATTAATCTCTCTTGTATATCTTGCATGCCTTCTGTTTCCATTTTCAATCATTGTCAAGTCTTTTGTGCTTTGTGTTATTCTGACCCCTTTTTTCATGTGTGTATCACTTTGGTCAAGTATGTTGATTTCAAGATGGGAGATGAATCAGGATACATTCGATTTGAAGAAGCAGAAGCAGCTCAGAAAGCTCGAGCAGCTGCAGTACTAGCTAAAGAAGAGGGTCTGGTTGTGAAGAATTTCATTGCCACTTTAGAACCTGTGACTGGTGAGCATCAAATTTGACTTCTCTTTGGGAGAGTGTTGATTGGGAGTGTTATTTTAAGATGGACACTTTCAATACTTGTGTTAAGAAGGTTTCAAAATTGATGCCTTTAAGAAACTGTTTGTCCTGTGAATAGGTGCTAGGCTGCTAGCTAGCGTGAAACCCTTTCCTATACTCGGTTCACATTTGCTTCTGGTGTTTGACATCCAAGGATGATAAAATGTATTAATTGTGGTGGGAAAATAGAAGGATCAAAGATTTAGGAAATATGGATCAATTAAACACTTATGTTTTTCTTTGCTTGTGATTCTTACTAGTGTTGTCAAGAGGTGCTCTCCTAGGCTTTCCAGGTGAGGCCACATCACCTTTATTAGCCTCAAGTGATGAATCTCAATGAGGTGCTGCCTAGGTGAGCGCCTTGTGAGTGGGTGCCAGGCTTTAAAGCAAGCGCCTGATTGAAATACTTTTTTTCATGTTGGATTTTTCATTTTTTCTAAAACTAATTTATGTAATGATCTATTTGTCCATTTTTTAATTTACCACAAGCAACAACTTAGGGGTATCTTTGTAAAAAACAAAGATTAGAGTAAAAAAAGAATTAAAAAATCATTAGAGTGGGAGACATACAGTCAAGGAAGGACACTTGAAGAGAAACACCATCCACACTTTGTGTTGAACAAAGTCAAAGAACAACACAATTACAGAACAAGAAAGCATGGATGAAAATGATTTTGAAAATTAATAAATAATGATGATGATATTTAAGTTTGCTTTTTAATCTATTTGGCTACTTACTACTTTAAATTGTCTTATTTTGTTTTAAGGGTGAAAAATATAACTTTATACGATTATGTTATGGTATTTTATATTTTCTTTTGATTTTGTAATGATCTAATCGTAAATGGGAAGATATATGTTTTAGATTTATATAATATAATATTATTCATATATTTTTCTTGATCTATAGAATATCTTCTTGATTCATTTGGGGTGAACTCCTCGGGCATTTTAGTAATAATAGTAAGATTTTGTCAAGTTTTCTTAATCTCTAGGCTTGGTGCCTTTTGCTTTTGACAACACTGATTCTTACAGCATTGAATGATTATTTTTTAGTTATGTTCCAGTCTTTTATTTTCTTCAAGGTTGATCAATCTAGTAGTAATGATAATGAAATTACATGAACAAAACTTGCTGCATATACATCTTTATTTGTTGACTGATCTTATTTACTGCCATTAAATGTGGAAGGAAAATTATCAAGGGTTTCTTATTACAATTCAGCTTGGTTTCTTATATTTTCAGTGGTCTCGATTTGTACTTTCTTTAGTAGATGCCTGTCATAAATTTGTATTTTCCTTGTTAATTGTTGGGTTTTATGTTGTTTTAATCTTGTATTATGTAAAGTGGCAATGAGAGAGCTGGTGTTGTTATTTGTAATCTCAGGTGAGGCAGAAAAGGAATACTGGAACCAATTCCGTGGACACAAAGAAAGGCGTTTTGAAAATAAGGGCAACCGAGGAAGGTCAGTATTACTGTGGTTTTTACTTTCCACTTTCATTTGGATGATAAACTACCTGGAATAGCCCATATAAAAATGGTTCTTCCCTCCAAAATCAGGTGTGGTTTATGAGTGGGGGAATATGGTTCCTCACTTCAATGGGTATAAAGTTGGTTCACTTATAATTCATATTTCTCCCCTTTCAAAGTTTTATTCATGCTTTTCAGGGGTGGGAGATACCACAAGGGTGGTGGCAAGCATCCCCGCTCTAGAGAGAACGATTCTGGGAGACCAAATAAAGCTCAGAAAGTTGGAGCATCATGAGAGGCAACCATGCCTATAACAAGTTTTGTGACAGTTTTGTACGACACCTTGATAGTTATTATATGATGAAAGCCTGTGCTTCCTGATCTCCCTGTGTCTTTTTTGCTTTGATGAAGATACAATAAGGTGTTTTTATTTGTATTTTTGGTTAACTCTTGAAATATTATATAGTTGGAAATGATCCAGGAAATGAATTAAGAGTTTGATGGTTGATCTCTACTTCTGCAGCCATTTTCATTTTAGTTTGAGGGTTGAAACACAAGTAGTCTTCGTATTCCCGCACTGTATTTTTCCGATTAACTTGTGATCAAGCATTGCTTATTACTTGGTGTTCCTTGTTCTAGTACTTTTCGTGTTTTTGCAGTCATAATTGCTCGTAATTGATGAATGCATAGAAAAAATTAGATCCGAGTCGTTGTGTCCCCTGTTGGAGAAGCTGACATGTTTGCTGATCATCTTGCAAAACAAAAGGTATCTAGATGTTTTAGTTTGCTACTAGCCTTCGGTGCCCGTGTGCTTCGTCACGAGGCTTAACATTTTATTTTTTTGTAAAAAATAATTTTCAAGTGTTAAAATAGAGTAAAAACAGATAAAAAAATTATAATTTTTTGTTTTTAAAATACTATATTAATTTTAAATTAATTAAAACAAAAAAGTTCAAGAATCTCATGAAGATTGTTTAGTTGTTTGTTAACTTAACTGGTCAATTATATTTAACCGGGTCAACCTAACTTAGGATATTTTATTAAGCTTGGGATATAATTTATATTTTATTAGGATATTTTATTAAGCTTGGGATTTAAATTATATGATTAAAATAATTTGATAAAAAAAATATAAAAATTTCTTTAAAAAAATTATATTAATTTTTTAAATTTGTAATTTGAGTTATTAGATTTGAAATATATAATTTAAAAAAAATATAAAATCTAATTTTTAATTAATTAAAATAAAAAATCAAATAGAGCCTTCTGAGATCACTTTATCAAGTTAATTATATTTAACTGGTAAACTTCTAATCTTATTTAAAATAAAATCTAGTTACAAATAGATCTCGAGTATATATATCGGGCTATATTTAATAACTAACGGTACAAGGTTTTGGGAATATAAGATTTTTTGTAGGAATTGTTTGGTAATAACCAGTGATGTACTCCTTCTGAATACTTGAATTGTTTTTTTCCACTCACATTTCAAGAGGGAATCATCCCTCAAAATTTTGGTCAAAACACAATCGAACTCTTTAGCAAAAATTCAACATACACGGTTCACATTTTCACGGGTCATATATTTTTTTCAATAAAAATAAGTGTGTGTGTATATATATATATATTCAACATGTTTTTATAGAAAATAAAAAATTTATGAATATAAATAATTCTAGATAAATCCACCTTATAGCCGATGTGGGCACTTGCCCACATTGCCCAAAAAAATCAAATAATATATCATGTTAAAATCAATAACATGTTTTGACAAATAAAAGAATTAGAAAAAAATTAAAATAGATGTATTTTGAGAATAAAAAAATAACTCTATGAAGTTATAATAGAAATGAGAAATAAAAGTTAAGAAAGAATCACATGAAAAGGTGTTGGTGTAAATCTTGATTAGAAATTAATAATGTTATTGTTAAATTATAGTAAGTCTGTAAATAAAAAAAATAAAAAAAAAGGAAAAATAAATATATTTTGAAAAAAAAATTATTATGAGAATTTAGTAAAATAACCAATATAATTTTAGCAATGATTGAATGAGAAAATTTGAATTTTGATATATTGCTAATTGAATGAGAAAATTTGAATTTTGATATAAAATCACTTAATAATTCATTTTATGATATCAAATATAATTCTTAATCTGACTGTTTTATGAGGAGTATTCTAACACATTTTTCTGGGTTTAAATTTTAAGATAATCTAAATTTAAAAAGGTTATGCAAGAATATAAAAAATCAAATAAAAAATAACATGTAGGCTCATTAATAATATTTTTATAAATAAGTTAGGAAAATTAAAAATTTAGTTTTTTCTTCCTCTTTAGATTATTGGGCAAGACATTATAAACTATATTATAAATATTTAAGTAAAGATTAAGAAAGCTTATTTGAAATTCTTAAATTTTGAATTAAAAAAGTGAAATTGTGCAAATGTGATGTTATTGTTATAAAATAAGATATAAATGATTCTAAATAAAATATAATTAAAGAATAAAAATTAGGTATTTATGGTAAAAGTAAAGCTGGCCACTTAATAGGAAGGATGAGAATTTTTGAAATCAAAGTAGATGTTTGTTAGTGATGTGTAACATGTCTTGATGAGGATTAAAATTAATTTAATTATGTTATTTAATTGTAGTTGAATTTTCATTGTAATTTTAAAAAGATTGAGAAATTGATGAAATAAGTAATTTATTATTATGTGTTGGTTAGTTGTGATAAATAATTTATGGTTAGCTATGAGGATGATTAGTTGAATAATTTATTTGATTACTTGTAATGAAAAAGAAGTATTTGAAAGTGTTGATAATGAGAAGATTTTATAATGTTTTAAATATATGAAATATGAGGTGGCAATTATGAATTATAAAAAAAGGAAAAAGAATTTTAAGAAGCTTTTTTATAATATATGTAAACTTTTTAATGAAGCATATAATTTTTGAATTTTTTAAATCTTGATTAATTTAGTTATGCCCTTATATTATTTTGAATTTTATTTTCATCCCTCTCCATGTCAACTAATCTAAAGTAATTTTATATTAGGATTAAAAAACAAAGAAAAAAATTAAAATTAATTTTTAGTTTAAAACTAAACTATGATGATTAGTTGTCTTTTAGGGGTTTACTTTTAATTTTGTTTGATTATATAATCTTTATGGGTTTTTTCATTTTTTTTTATGTTTAGGGTTTTTAATTTAAATTTTTGAATTGATATTTATTTCAAAAGAATTTTAAGACGATGGATATGATTTTTGTGCTTTTCTAGTGCTAAATGACATGGAAAGTATACTTGAACAATGATTAGTAAAGTCAAGAGGAAAACTAAGAAAATAGGAATAACAAGAAAAATAAAAAAAATAAAACAATAAATTGAGTGGATGAAGAAAATAAAATTCGGCCGTTGGGTTTTCAAAAATACCAAGCCAAGGAAGTCCATGAAATGGGCGGCTAGGATTCTTACGTGGAAAATTCAGAACAGTCCAAGACATTCAAAAAGTTGCTCGACGTTTAACATCCATAGGGTTTGAATAAACTCCGAAGTCCGCCCCTTCAATTTTGAAATGAATAAGAAGAAGAAAGCTCCCTCCCGACCGTTTCGATCTCTCTCTCTCTCTCTAGAAACGCATTTGCAGATCTCTCTCTCTAAAATCTCTCTGGACTTCACTTGGATCTGCAAATGCGCACCGTTTTAATCACTTTATCGTCTCTCTCGTCTTTTGATTTCTCCTCTTTTCTGTCATTGAAGCTCAGTTTGGTGAGTCGTTGAAGCTCGTTTTCTTTGAAGTTTGAAATTTTAAAGTCTCTAATTTATTTTTATCTTTGAATAAATTAAAATACTTTTCTCATAAGATTTGTGCCATTTTGATCTTTTTTTTTGAAATTCTAATGGTTAGTGGTCGAAAAAGATTGAAAATCTGTCTCGTCGATCATGTTTTAGGGTTACTTAATTAAGTATTAAGGAATTAATTTTACTGATTGTAGAGTTGAATTTCAGTTTCATTCGAGTTTGGAGGTTTTGAAGGAAGCTGAACGATTTAGAAATTCGAATTTTTTTCACTTTGATTATGAATTGGGTTTGGGACTTAACAAGTTAATTAATTTCACTAATTGTGTAATTAAATTCTTAATCTTTTTTTTTTTTTTAAATTTGAAACCTCACTGTACTTCAATTCAAGTCAACTGAACTGAAATACAAAGCCCTAATTGGTGATTTCAGGAAGTGAAGATTTTTATTTAGAGGTTATTCTGATCTGGGTTTCCTTTTCTTTTTGTGTTTATGTGTTAGTTCGTGAGTTTGGGGGAAATTGGAACGGATTGGTAGGGGGGTTTATAATGAATTGTGGTCGAGTAGGAATTGGGCTGTGCAGCAGCTTCTTTATTTGTATATCAAACAACAATGGAAAGTAGTGACAGGTTAATTTCTGCTCCTTTGGATGGGCTTGTTAGCGACAGGATCCCGAGACCACCCAAACTTCTTCACGGGTAATTTTTCAGAAGCCATTCTAATGTTTTGTGTGATTGAGAGACTCAACTGGCTGTTAAATATGTTGGATTCTGAATGGTGTTATGCTATTCTCTTGCAGGAGGACTAGTGGCCCTGCAAGGCGTTCCACGAAGGGGCAATGGAAAGCTGAAGAGGTAGTAATTCTTCTGTGTACTCGAAGTATCTTGGTAGAAGAGTTATTTTATGACGTGGAGATGTTTAAAAGGAATTGTTTTTGCATTTTTTTGGGTCTAATGATTAGATTAGTTTACAGGGCAACCTTTCCCATTTTGATTTTCACTGCTTTTTCACGCCTGAAATGACATCTCATGGTGATGCTTAGGTTTATTGTTTACTTGTACCCATCACGTTTAAGTTTCTTTTCATTAATTTCTGTTTTAGCTTCATTATTATAATTAACACTTCCCCAATTCTTAGCTCATATCTGGTTATATTTAGTGATGAACAAGTGTTATATGTGTTTAGGATGAGATTCTGCGCAAGGCTGTTCAGCGTTTCAAAGGAAAGAACTGGAAAAAAATTGGTACAGTTGTGAACTTAATAAGTTTAATTCAGTTCTTTTCCTTGTTTGGAGTTTCTCATTTCATTATCTTTTCCTATGGAAGTTGTTAAACTTGATAACTTTAATTCTTGCTTTTATTTTGATATCAACAATTATTACTGTTAATTCACCCCTAGGGGGTGGTGTTTAAAGGGATTATACTTGCCTTTAATAGGCTGAGAACGAATACAACATTTTAATGATAAGAAGCTGAGGATGAATATCAAACTGTCAACTTTTAGTTTTGATAATTGATCACTAGAAAACATGATTTAAAAGGACCTTGTCATCCAACTATAGTTTCTCTACAGAATTTAGTTTTGGATTTTGGAAACTATTTTAGAAAATTTTAACTTAAACTTAAAATTACTTTTAATTTTATGCTTTTCCATTAAATGCAGTCTTTCTGCTAGGAGGTTTTACCGTTTTAGAATTCCTGAATTGACTAAGCTTCATTCTTAAACTTGTCTGCATTCCTTGCATGAAAATTGCCATTTTGTTTTGCCCTTTCTTGAGCCAAATCCTTAAGTGAAACACTTAAAATCACATCCTTCTTTATAATTTTTACCTTTAGCCAAGTACTTTTGGTTTATGTTTTACCATTTTTCAAACCCTTTATTCAAATACAGTGACCACCCTTCCTCATCAGTGCTTTCCTGAAGGTCTATAATGTAGATGCCTGAACCATCTTTCACAATATTCCATCAATTTTACTATAGTTGGTAGTTCGTACTATGGTTTCCTATATCAAGATGTCTATTTGTTACCTTTTGTGCATCACCACTTCCATCCTAATACTTCCATTTCAGCAATGCTCATTTTATAGACTTGTTTTCATTCTCTTTTACAGTCTTTTTAGGTCTTTGTTGCAACAATATAAAACCGTCTTAGCCAATTTACTTTTATTTTTTAGTTGGTACTGCATGCTCTTCCTTATTTGTATATGGGATACATAGCAAATATTTTCTAATTTGAAACATTGGAATTTATGTAGCTGAGTGTTTCAAGGACAGAACTGATGTACAATGTCTACATAGGTGGCAGAAGGTCTTGAATCCTGAACTTGTTAAAGGTCCTTGGTCAAAGGAGGTATACCATATGGTTGTTTCTGTCTATGACAATTCCTGCTTTGCTTACATTTTTTTTCTTGCTAATTTCTACCTTAAAGATAAATATTCTTGATAATTTATATGCCTGTTTCATTTGTGAAATGTAAATAGGAGGATGAAATAATAATTGAATTGGTGAACAAATATGGGCCAAAGAAGTGGTCCACAATTGCACAGCATTTACCTGGACGTATTGGAAAGCAGTGCCGGGAAAGGTAAGAGTATTCTTCTGCCCATTGCAAGAGTTGCAATTATTTTCTCTCTCATATATAATTATGTTTTATGGTTTAAATTTGTCCTTTATTTTTCTTCATTTGCACTGATGTATACATAATTTAGGTGGCATAATCATCTTAATCCTGCAATAAACAAAGAGGCGTGGACTCAGCAAGAGGAGGTGGCCTTGATTCGTGCACATCAAATTTATGGGAACAGATGGGCAGAGCTGACAAAGTTTTTGCCTGGAAGGTTTGTGCATTCCTTATTTGAAGAGACTCCCAATTTTGTATTTTAACTTTATCAGGTGGTGTTATTGCACTTTGCTTACTTACATGCTTGAATTAACACAAGCTTCTACGTTATCTCCTTTGAGGCTTGTCATTTCCATCTTCTTGCTTGCTGTTTAGTTCCCATCTCTACTTCTGTTATTTGAAAGTTCAACAGTAGTGTTAAAAGTGACCTTTAATAAATGTGAATTTGATTTATTTTGTGTCGTGAACAGGACAGACAATGCCATAAAAAATCACTGGAACAGTTCTGTAAAGAAGAAACTGGACTCTTATGTGGCATCAGGTCTGTTAGAACAGTTCCAATCCTCTCCTCTTGCTGGACATCAAACTCTATCCTTGCCCGCATCTTCCTCAAGGCTGCACAGTTCTGGAGATGATAATGCTCAGAGAGGTGGTTCAGAAGCAGAAGATATATCAGAATGCAGTCAAGAATCAACTATGGTTGGTTGCTCACAGTCTGCGGGTGACCAGGGTATTGCAGTTTTTCATACAAGAGAAGAATTTCAGTTTGCTGAAGAATCTGGTCCCAGAAAGGAGCAAAGCTCCAGTCCAGCATCTTGTTCAGAACAATATTACATCCCTGAAATGCCTTGTGAATTGGGTGGCTCTTCCAACTTTATTCAGCAAAGTTTCTCCCATAACACTTTGACTTCTGCAAACAGTGATTATCAATTTGAATTACAGGAGCTACCTAACATATCCACCCTAGAACTAGGGCAGGAATCATCAGGTTTGCCAACTCATTGCATAACTGCTAATGAAAGCCATGAACTGGTGAACGATCCATTTCAAACTTCCATTGGCCTGGGTGCTCCTACTTCCATGGGAAATATCGCTGCAAGTTCTGCACAATCAGGCCAGATATTCGTATCTGATGATGAATGTTGCCGGATTCTATTCTCAGAGGCAGCAAATTGTGAAATTTTTTCCTCTGGAAATATTACAAAAGACTCAAATGTGGCTGACTTAGGAGGTGACATGGATTCATCACTTCCTCAATCACCAAACATCCAGATATCTGAAACAGAGAGAAGTGCTTCACAGTCATTTTGTCCTCCAAGGTCTGCTATATTGGGAACTTCATGCTGCCAATCTTTTCTTCCCGGTTCTTCACTACATTGTGCTGATGATAACAAACCTGTGTGTGGTAGGGAACCCAATCTGTTAATGGTCCAATCATTTGGATCTCTCGAACAACAGTTTGTTACAAGCATACATGATAGCTTTATCTATACCATTGATGCCATCAACTCCTCATGTGACAATGGTACTGATAACACAGAGCTGCAAGAGAAACCATATCTGAAGGAACCATCAAAGTTAGTGCCTGTGAATACTTTTCCTTCAGTCTCAGATACCATATCATCTTGTGCTGCAGATGAGAAACCGAATGTGCATGCAGAACAGGAGGCAGGAGGTCTTTGCTATGAACCTCCTCGTTTCCCAAGCTTGGATATGCCATTTCTCAGTTGTGATCTCGTACAATCTGGCAGTGATATGCAACAAGAGTATAGTCCTCTTGGTATTCGCCAACTGATGATGTCTTCCATGAACTGCATCACTCCCTTTAGGTTATGGGATTCACCATCTCGGGATGGTAGCCCTGATGCTGTTCTGAAAAGTGCTGCCAAGACTTTCACAGGTACACCATCCATCCTGAAGAAACGAAACCGTGATTTATTGTCACCCTTGTCAGAGAGAAGAGGTGACAAAAAGCTTGAGATTGACATGGCATCCAATTTGAGCAAAGATTTTTCATGTTTGGATGTTATGTTTGACGAGAGTGAGACTCACAACAGATCATCTCTGCTGCCCCCATCATCCAATCAGGAAAAGAACCATGAATCCTCAGGTGAAGATAAAGAAAATCTGGACCCTGCCCTTGAAGTCGCAGATGAATTTTGCGGTAATACCAAGGATAATGTAAAGCAAGGGACAGCTGATAGTGATGCAAGGTCCAAGGTTCATTCCGATGCTAATGTGAGTTATTATTATTATTTTCTGTCTGTAGTCTTCTCTCTAGTTACGTTTCTTTCTTTTCTTGTCTTTTCCTTTTTTTTGTGCTAGTTTGATTCTGCTTGTGCATCATCTAAAATTTTGTGCTACTAGATTTCTAAAGAAAAGGCAAGAAAGAAAAACAAAATTTGCTTGTCAGTATACGTGTCTTTTTCTTAATATCTTTTTCTTTACCTCCCTCCTTTTGATATGCAACAGTCTTCTGGAGTCCTATCTGAAGAAAACACCAATGATCTGTTATTTTCTCCTGATCAACTTGGTTTTAAAGCAGACCGAGCATTTGGTCCAAGTGCTCGAACTCCCAGGAATTTGTACCGTAAAATTTTGGGCACTTTATCAGAGCATGCCAGTGGTTCAGAATCCTCATTTGGAAATCCATGTATGATCTTTAGCTCTACGAGTTGTAAGAACCATGAAAATCACATAATTGAAAGCACATCAGTTCAATCTATTCCGTCATCAGCACCATCAGAGAATATACCAGATAATTCTGGGAACAATGCTGGAACTGGAAATTTTGGCATGTAAGTTTACCTGTGTTTCTTTTATGATCCTAGTCACCACGCTGTTTAGTGGTTGAGTAAAGCTGCTGCCATGTCAAATATTCCTGTCTCATTTTAATTTTATGGGAGCTGCTGGTTGTTTATGTTCGGGTTGGAATTTGGGATTTCCTGATAGTTTCTAGCTACATCTGTGATGAGATAGATATACATGACTTCTGGTTTTGGCATTACCATGATGCTTATTAGATGCTTGGTTGATGGTGTTCATTTCTAGATTTGGTGATACTCCTTTCAAAAGGAGTATCGAATCCCCTTCGGCATGGAAGTCACCTTGGTTCATTAATTCTTTTGTGCCAGGCCCAAGGATTGATACAGACATATCCATCGAGGTAGATAACTTCTTTTGATAAGCTAATTATCGGATATGTTTTGAGATTTTTCTTTAACTATCTGGAATTTCTTTCCAGGATATTGGGTATTTCATGAGTCCTGGGGACAGAAGCTATGATGCCATTGCACTAATGAAGCAGTTAAGTGAGCACACTGCATCTGCATATGCCGATGCCTTGGAGGTTTTGGGTAAGGACACTCCCGAGTCCATATTAAAAGAAAGGAGGCGCTCCAATGATCAAAATGGTGACCAAGAGAATCGCTCCCATTTGGCTTCAAATGTTTTGGTATGCCTGACTGCGCAGAACTTTTACAGAACGTTTTTTTATTTGTAGACATCCATATTTCTACCCTTTGGTTTCTTTGTTTCGAGGAAAGTTCCTCAGGTATACTCATAGTTGCAAAAATCCATCCAAGCATATTCTATCACTTTCTTTTGTCTTGTGAATATTAAGATGCCAGCTAAAAAGACTATTTGGAACTCCTGCAGACAGAATGCCGGACCCTTGACTTTAGTGAATGTGGAACACCTGGGAAGCTAACAGAAAATGGGAAATCTTCAAGTGCCATCAGCTTTTCAAGTCCCTCCGCTTATCTGTTGAAGGGTTGCAGATAGTAGTGGTACCTGGCCAATGCCTTCCGCTGTCACTATTTGTAGTTTATATTATACATATATGTATATTTGCTGCCATTTTTTCGTTCTTCCTATTGTTCGGTGCTGGATTCCTTTTCAATTAAATGATAGAAGATTTTCTCTGTATTCTAGCGGACTTCTGTATTTCCTTCCAAATGTTAGTTATCTGTTCATATTTCAGCAGACTTTTTTTTGCACGCTTATCGGTGGATGGAGGGCAAGACTGGCAGTTCGTTGGATGAATTCGGGCCTGGTTAGCCCTGGTGGGCTTGGTTGTGGCATCATAGGTTTGTTATCTGTTCTTATTTCAGCAGACTATTTCTGCACTTTATCGGTGGATGGAGGGCAAGACTTGCAGCTCATTGGATGAATTCGGGCCTGGTTAGCCCTGGTGGGCTTGTTTGTGGCAACATAGGTTGCCTGGGATGAGATTTTTTCTGAGAGAGAGCAAGTGATTAAGAGGACAAAAGCATAGTGTGGAAATATTAATTAATTACATGCAGGATAGATGGTAACAGACGATAATTTCCTGCTATCCTTGTATGCTTTTTTTTTTTCTTTTTAAATGGTTTAGGGTTTAGGAAGAGCATTTGCATCTATATACAGAGAAGAAAAGATAGAAGGCTTTTTGAAAGCTATATTGCTGCCGTCCACTGATAGATCGGTCTGATTTTTGGATGTGTTGTTTTCCATGACGTTCTCTGTAATCTGACAGAAGGGGTAATTACTATAAACTCTGTTTGAGAGTTAAGACTGGCATAACTTTTCTTGAACCTTGGGTCAGTTTTTGTTGCCTACTTGTTTCTTCTCCGTCTATTGTTGAATTCTCATGAAATTAGGATAAGAAGGTTCACTTAGGCATGTTCTTCCTTTTGATGGGTGGAGATTGTAAACAAATACTCTGATAAAACGTTTTTCTTGAATAGTAGATAATCATTTTCTAGTTAGTTCGGTTGTATGTTGATCTTGAATAATTTAATTGTTGGATTAACTTGATTTTTGAATACGTTGTGTATAACATGATGGTTTATAGTAAATCGTTGTTTTCTAGATCAGTTTGTGTTGTATGCTGATCTTGAGTAATTAATCGTTGGATTAAGTTGATTTTTGAATATGTTGTACATAATATAATTATTTATAGTAAATCATCATTTTCCAGTTAGTTTAGTTATATGCTGATTTTAAGTAAATTAATTGTTGGATTAAGTTAATTTTTTGATATATTATACGCAATACAATGATTTATGGTTTTACTACTTGGTTTCATCTGAATTTAAATTCACATAGAGTTATGGTAGTTTGAATATAGTGTTCGCAAACTCACCTTTTTACCATTCCAACTCACTAAGATATTACTGATTATTGTTTCAACTTGTCACTATAGCATTTCGGTACTATTACTCCAATTATAAATTTTACTATTTATTTAAAAAGAATTTTTCCTAAATCATCCATAGGGTTCTAATCACCACGACCACCCATAAAACCAATACCATCAACACAAAAATCATAACTAAACCATCAATAAGATTTATAAATCACCATAAAACACAAACACCAACACCAAAAACACCACCACCACCAAAACTAAAACTAACTTCTCATCCGGAACATATGCCGAAAGGGTTAGGGTTGCTATCTTTAACGCTTGATTTTTTCTAGAATACATTCCTTATCAATAGATTAGAACTTATCTTAAGGTTTTTGAGGAGATCTTGACAAAGAAACCAAACCAATGAAGTCATTGCATGATAAGCTTTTTTCTTGGATTTAAAATGTCATATCATGTTTTTAATTCTATTATAAATAGAGTACGAAAAAACTATGGCTTTAAGAATGTGATGATAATGACTATTAATTTTATGATCTTCTTGTTCTAAACAGAGATTGAGCTATAGATGGCATTTAAAAAAGATCCCTGGATATTCGGGGCAAAGCCATCATTCTTCAGTAATGACACCTTTACTATATCTTCAACAAGAATAGGATTTTGAAGATTCTGGTTTGGATTCACCTACATCACTTGCCATTCTTATTATGGTCTAAAAAGGAGTTGAGTTTGACTGCTAATATGGTTGGTAGACCACTTTCATGTAATAAGTCAACTTATAGATACACACGTCTAAAATATTTGCTAGTTTATGTAGAGCTTGATATGTCACTCTTTTTTATCCACTAGTTTGAGATTGAGAACCCACTTTTGGATGGGTCGATTTTAATAGAGTTTGAATATGAATGGAAGCCAAAATGTTATGAAAAGTACAAGCTATTTAGACACTTTTATCATATTTCGGTTGATAAGTCATAATGGTAAAGGAAAAACAGTTGCTGACTCTTTGCCCTCTAAATCACTACCACATCAAAATGATGGTGGTGCTCTGTTTGTATCAATGATTCCAATTATGTCTACCTGGGCAACTTTTAAAGGGAAAACAATCATGTTAGCCATTTCTACTTTAGAAACTAGTTAAAAGGTGGATAAATCTTAGTTTCTAATTAACTGGTTCAATCCTAGGCTAGATGATGGTTTGGTTTTGATTGGTAATAAATCTTTAGACTTCATCTTTGGCCTTATCAACACTAAAATTAGTGTTGATAAGGCCAAAGATGAAGTCTAAAGATTTATTACCAGTCAAAACCAAACCAACATTTTACCTAGGACTAAATTGGTCAACTAATTCTTGATATTTCTTTATTTTTGGATCGATTTGTGGAGTAGAAATGGTTGAATGGTTGTTTTCTCAACAAAATTTATCAAATAAGGCTCGACTGCAGCTATTAATGTAAACAAAACATCAACACCATTTTAGTATGGTAGTGATTTTGAGAGAAAAGACTCAATGATAATTTTTCCATTACTGTTATCACTAATTGACTTATCAACTAAAATTTGACAAGAATGTTTAAATAGTTTTTAATTTTCACACCATTTGGGTTTCTATTCATAGTCAACCTCAACTGAAATCAACTCATTCGAGAGGGGGCTCTTAATCTCAAATTGGTAGATAAAAGGGAGGGATGCATTAAGCTCCACACAAACTCGTATATATTCTAGACACGTGCATATATAAGTTTGCTTATAACATGAAAGTGACATACCAACCATACCAACAACCAAGCTCAACCCCTTTCTGGACAATAATGGAAATGACAAACCTTAAATGTGAATCCAAATTAGGATCTTGTCGAAGACATAATAAAGGTGTCATTGCTGAAGAATAATGCTTTGCCCCTAAACATCTAGAGACCATTTTCAAGTTTTGCAACTCAATCTTTATTTTGAACTAGAAGGTTATGAAATCATTACTTGTTGTTTTTACATTCTCAAGGCTATAATTCTTCCAAATTTTATATACAATAGAATTAAAAATATGATACAACATTTTAAATCTAGGAAAAACCTATCAAGCAATGACTATTATTGTGGATTTTTCGTCAAGATTTCTTAAAAAATCTTGAGACAAGTTCCAATTTGTTTACAAGGAATTAATTCTAGAGCAAACTAAGTGCTAGAGTTGGTAACCCTAACCCTTTCAGCTCATTTTCCAGAGGAGGAGTTGGTTTTGATTTTGGGGGTGTTCATGTTTGTGTTTTATGGTGTTTTAGAGGTGTTGTTGATGTTGTTGGTTTTATGGGTAGCCATGATGACCAGGATTGTGGGGTGAATTGGGGAAAACTCTTTCCAAATAAACAATAAAATTTGTTATTGGATTAAAGGTTCCAAAATGATACAGTATTGGTTTGAAACAATAATTAATAGTGAATCAGTGGGTTGAAATAGTAAAATAATGACTTCACGAACAATATATTCAGATTACCATAACTTTCTATAAATTAAGATCCAGTTGAAACCTACCTAACGGTAAAACCATAAACCATCATATTTCTTACAACATGTCCAAAAATCAGTTCATTCCAATAATTAAATTATCCAAGATCAATTTAAAATTAAACTAACCTGGAAAATGATGATCTATTATTCAAGAAAAATATCTTGCTAAAGTGTTTGTTTCCAATCTCCACCGACCAGAAGAAAGAATACACATGGGCAAACCTCCTTATCCAAATCTCAGGTAAATCCAATGGTGAAAGAAAAAGAAACAGCCTGATGACAATGATAGACCCGAGGTGGGCTTTTTCAAAATAATTATGTTGGTTGCAGTTATCAAACAAAGACCGATAATAATAACCCCTCCGATTAGATTATAGAGAACATCATGGTGAACAATATATTCATAAATCAGACCGATCCAATAGTGTAAAGTGGCGCTATGGTTTTCAAAATGCCTTTTTCTCTCTCTAGCTTCTCTCTAAATTCTCCTTGTAGAAATGACAAGTGATTAACAAGAAAAGCATAAAGTGGAAATATTAATTAATTACAGGCAGGATACATGGTAAAACTCGAAAATTTCCTACTACCCTTATATGTTTTCTGTAATGTTTTTCATATGATTAATACATATTATATATACCTGACCTTATTAAATCACTCCCTCAACCTTTTTTTCTTTCTCTCTCTATATTTCTAGTCTTTGTTTTGTTATTTTCTCTCCATTATTATTCTAGAGATTAAGGTAACATTATTTAATGTGTTTCTTATATTTTATGAACATCTTAAAGTAATTAATTTTAGAATTAACTTCTTTATATTCTTAAAAAAATATATTACATGAAAAATAGTATATTATGCCTAGATATTTATGAATTTATTCTCCAAAAAACAACAAAGTCTAGTAATTTTTTTTATCTAAAGTCTAGTAATTTTTTTTATCTTACATGTTTGAGCTGGTAAATATTGTAATTTTTTATAAATAAATTACTCTGAATTTTTGAAATACCAAATATCCTATTGTATAATTCCTAAATCATTACTGATGTTTTAGTATTGTTATATGATTTAATGACTTCACTATTAAAGTTAGGTGTTAGGACTAATTAAAAAATATAATAATTAAATATATATAAATATATTTTTAGGAATTTAGATCCACCACAATATAAAATAAAACTCTTAAAATATAGGTTTCTTTTTTGTAGTCTTTTATTGTTTTTCTTATTATTATTATTATTGTTTTGAAAGGAACATTAAAATGAGATTTAGTAGTCAAAAAATAAAAAGTAATTAA